TCTGAAGAGGGACTTATCGACTAGTATCAAACTTATGGACTTCAGTTGGACTGGGCTGGGATGTTTTCTGGATATACAATTACTTCTTGATATAAAACTCTTTCTTACACATATATGAATGTCTCTGGATTTGTTTCTCTAGTTAACCCGACCTAACACGGTTGCTTGATTCAGAATCTATTGGTGGTACACAACAACAGCATAAGATGACATACAGTGGATATATTTATCTAATTACAGTGAACCCTCGCCACTTCGCGCTTTGACCGACCTCCGCGGCTTCACTCTATCGCGGTTTTTGGGTAACAGCGCATGCTCTGTCATTACTGCCACTGATTGGCTCATACTGTACACGCTTGATGCCATAAATAATATAATAAATAATAAATGATAATTGTAACGTCCAAAATGTTTTACTGTATTTTCCATTTTTCGTTTAATAAATTGGGTAATACGAGTGTAATGGTGACTAAAGGGTGTTTTTTTCATGTCCTCTATGCTCTAACTACGAAAATATTTGATTTACAAATAAGGAATCCTACTTCGTGGAATTTAATTTATCACGGTAGGGTCTAGAACCGATTAACCACTATAAACGAGGGTTCACTGTAATGTTTTACATTGTGTCCAACTTTTCATTGTGTGATAAACCTCATTTACAATATAATAATTTTGGAAAGTTACTTTTGTTCTCTTTTTATTCCCTGTAAAAGAGGAACAGTACTCGCATTTTTTCTCTATGGTTGTAGAGGACATAATATGTATGTGCATATGTGTGTACATGAATGTACAAGATATTCAATGTAGTCTCTGCTACATTGGAAACACACATGATACCATCATTTTCATAAAGACATAAGTTTATTAAACAATTCAGACTGGATGAAGTATAAGCAGGAGTTTATTTTTTTCCTGTGCAGCCATCAAAATTTCTTTGTGGATTAATTTCTTTTTTAAATTTATTTTTTATTGTAGTAAAGTATATATAACAAAACTGATCATTTTAACCAGTTTTAAGTATATAATTAGCAGTATCAATTACATTCACACCATGTGTGAATAGCTAGCTTCATCAATATTTCCATATTTTTTTCACCCCAAACAGAAATTCTGTACTCATTAAGTTATAGCTTCCATGTGCACCGTAATGCTGGAGAACGAAGTCCTTTTCTACTCTAGAGCCCTGTGTTCTACTACAATGCTAAGAAATCTTCAGAGAGCCTTCCCAGCTAAGATGAAGGCAGAATAAAAGCTTGATGATCTACTTCTAAAATTCAGCCAATGAAATGAAAACTTTATTGGCCAATCAAGAAGCATTGATACTGGGCATGGTGCAGGGCCTTTTGTAATCTTGTGCATAGAATCAATATGAATTGGAGGCCAACCCAGTGGCTGCTAATAACAATGAAAACAGTAGAGGCAAACTTTCCCTCTCTTGGATAATAAACTACAAGTCCCTCTGGTTTTGTTGCTTGAAATTCTGGTCTAACCTAGTAATTATCATCACCATTTCCATTTAGTCAGAGGAATAACTAAATCTTCAGTATCTTACCCCATTTATAGCTTCTCTTCCCCTTTCCTGTGCCTCACCCAGAATGGGAGACCCACAGTGAGAGAAGGGAGAATGTGTTATTTCCTTCAGTGGGTCCTAGTTGTCCCTCCCTTTGTCCTCTCTGGTAACAGTTGCTAAATAATAAATTATTCTGAAATTTTACACATTTGGTTAACATGTGCTTGGAGTTTCCAGGAAATATCATGGTAGTTTCAAGACAGAAGAGAAGAAATGCTTAACCAACAATAAATGGTAAGTTTATTATTCTCCTTGCAATGAGTCAATTGATGTCATTCAAATGTCTTAAAGAATTCTTGAGAATTTATCCTGGGACTGCAGTGTCAGTTTCAAAATCCTCTGAAATCACTGAAATTTTGGGAGTATTTTCTTTTATAATTCATGATGATTTATTTTTGGCTTATCACCAACTGAGCAAAATTTTAGTTATCTTCATTTGTCTGATCGTGCTCCAAATATTACTCTAGTGCAATTATTTTTAATAGTTTAGAATCTGATAATATAATTTTACAGAAAAATTATGGTTAGTAATGTAGTTTTACTGACAGTGATGGTGTTTATTTTCACTTATTATTTACTAGTAATGACCATTTCATTTGGATCGTTATGTCCTACAGTAAAGGCATCTTTTGATCATCGAAATATATACCAGAAAGTCAAAGATTTCTGGCATTTATAAGAAGGATTTGTGTTAAAGCCAACATCTTTTGCCAACACTGAAAAACAAATTATGTCGCTATAATTTCTCTGTATCCAATCTGTGAAGGAGGCTAGGTGATGAGGAGTAGGCTTAGATGGAGTGCACTTGGCTGAGTTACTACACTTGAAATACAAATATTCATTAAGAGATTACACGAGGAAGGTGAAATTACCAAAGCTTCTGGGACAATTTATAAACAACTGGACTGATGAAAATTTGAACAAGTATAGGCTCCAAAACTTTCATAAAATTCTGTAGCTCACAAATAATATAAAAATCTGACTTTTTTTTAAAAGTTACATAAATTCCGGCAACCTTGCTGTAATGGCAGGCAGAAAAAAAATTTATTTCAACCATTAGTGTAATCAACATAACTTTATGGAACTAATAAAATAATATGTCAAAAACTCTTTATACTTAGGATTCCCACTCAGCCTCCTTCACCCTCACCCCATTAGATCAGACAAAACAAACAAAGAAATAATAACAACAAACCATGTAGAACTGCTTCATAAGGGTTCCTTGGTTACAGTGTTGACAGAAGCAGATCACTAAGCTTGTCTTTCGTGGCACTGCTGGGTGGGTTCGAACCACCAACCTTTAGGCCAGAAGTTGAGTGCAAACCATTTGTTTCACCCAGGAACCTTTCCCATAGAATGAATTCTCAAAAACATGTAGCAATCTTTTTAAAATCATTGTTTCATAAAACCTGTTTCTAATAGATAGCCTGTATAGTACTTGATACCAAAACCTATTCCTTGAAAGAAAGAAAAAAATCTTTTTTTTTTTAATCATTTTATTAGGGGCTCATACGACTCATCACAATCCATACATACATCAATTGTGTAAAGCGCATTTGTACATTCATTGCCCTCATCATTCTCAAAACATTTCCTCTCCACTTAAGCTTACTAGAGGTGAATAACTTGATACAAAAAAGCACAACTTTCCAATACCTTAATGTATATATCTTTGAATAATTTCTCTTGAACCAATTTTACTTTTGTCCTCCAACACCATCAATGGCTCTGTTCAAATCAGAACAAACTTTAGAGACAGGCAGAACTGGTTGGAATAAAGAAATGGAAATACTTACCTTTCCAGTATCACTGGTACTCCCATCTAGGCATTTTTCTTAATATCTAGACTCCCTTATACTTCTCTTTGAGATCAGAGGCTGTCAGATTTATCAACATTATTTCTCTATGGGGGTGCGAAGGGGATGAGGTGGGAGAGATACCAGCTGGGTAGGCCAGGGTACCAGTAGCAACCTAGTGATATTTAAGCCTTTGAGTCACTGAAAATGAAATTATTGAAAAACTGGAAAAGAAAATTTAGGTTGTAATAGAATTGTTCACTGCTTTGTTCTGTTCATTGCATTGTTTTTACCCTCACTAATAAGGGTAAAATGTTTACACATTAATAATTTTTAAAAAAAGTAATCTGTATTTAGATGCAGTCCTTATACTTAAGATGGAATAACATATTGGAAAATTTAGATATTTGGGTTCAGTCCTAATTACAGTATAAAAACTGATTTTCACTCAAGCTCCACAAACATTTTACTGTGGGTAGAACAGAAATAGCAACATTCATATCAGCACATGAATCAACAACTTTCCTGATTTTAAACCATGGAGTATTTCCCTTTTCAGTTTTCACAACTACAAAGGCCTAAGAATAAGATAATTGAGTGGACAATATGGTATTTGGTCATAATAAGGACTTATTATGACCAGGAGCCTCATGGTGCAATGGTTTAACTCTAGGGTGTTAACTGAAAAGTCAGAGGTTGAAACACACCTTCTCAGACTTGAGGCCACACGACAATAGCATATAACCAGAAGCCACTTAAGGTCAGAAGACAAGATCCGAGGCGGAGAGGAGATCTTGAACATGGGAGGCAGGTGAAGTGGAAAGAGCTATTGTCTGGAAATAGAAATTTATTGTTGTTCTTGGATGCCATTAACTGAATTCCAATTTACAGAGAACCTATGTGGCAGGCTAAAACTGCCGTTAGGTTTTCTAGGCTGTAATCCTTCTGCAGGATACCTGGTGATGTAAGGTTAGGCTGCTCCGTGGCTCAACAGTTCGAACTCACCAGCCACTCCAAAGGGAAAAAGATAAGGCAGTCTGTATCCTTGGAAACTCTTGGGCAGTTCTACTCTGTCTTATGGTAGCTAGGAGTCAGAGAATCACAGACCCTGTAGCTAGCAGTTCAATGCTTTCCTGGTCCAATGCTTACAACAAAGTACCACCAGGAAGGCTTTTAGACGGTATTAGATTGATTATTTAAAAGTGTAACAAAGTGCTATTGTTGGCATCAGAAAATTATGCTTACTATAAAATTATTATTATTTTTGGAATCCTGATAAAACATCGCAGATGTCTTCCTAATCACCTACTTGATGGTAGGCACAGTTGAGACAGGAAGAGCTGGGGGAAAAAGTAAAGCTGCTTTGGGAGAACAAGTAATCTACGATTTCTTAACATTTTTAGGGACGATAGGATAAATAAATACCTCCAAACAGCCAGGGCGGACTGCGTGTTTAAAGGAAGTCTCCACCCTTTACAGGCGTGAGGGCGTGTCCTGGACCCGCCCATCGCCCGGCTGGTTCAACCCACATCCTGGCGCTTCCAGGGGGCGGAGTCTGCGCTGTGCTGACGTCACTGCGGAGCGCCCGGAACTCTTCGTTGGCGGGGGATTCAAACGTCTGTTCTGAGTCTCGGAGGCCGGTGAAGAGCCTGAAGCCCAGAGGGTTCTGCCCGCCTCGGTTGGCGGGAGAGTCGGCTCGCTGCCCGAGGCGGTTGGTCCCGGAGAGGAGAAATGGCGTTCTCCTCCACAGCCCCCCGGGCGAGAAAGGTCAAGCGCAGGGCGCCTCGCGGCTTCCTCAAACGCGCCCTGAAGCTGCGGAAGCCTCACCTACGGCTGGAGACGAATGGCGACTTACTGGTGAGAGTCTTCTGCTTTTCGGGCTGGGCGTTGGGAAGGAGAAACTGGAAAAAATAAACCCAGTCTTGGTTTCGCCCCCCACACCTAATTTAGAGCCCTGCTAGGCCACTTCCGTCAACTTCTAGGTAGATTTTCGTGCCAGTGTAAGGAGCCCTGGTGGCGTAGAGGTTACGCGTCGGGCCGCTTTTGAAACCTCGGCTCCGCGGGAGCAAGAGCGGCTTCTCACGTGAAGGGCTTCAGGCTCAGGCTCTCGGGAGCCGTCGGCCTCGACTTGGTGGCGGTGGGTTTGGTTTGCATGTCAGTTTATATTGCTGGCGCTCAGTTGATTCGAGGAACCTTGACATGTAGCTATCGGACCTTTTGAGAGGCATATTTAAAAAACAACACGGTTGAGAACAGTTGCCCATTGTGCTTAATGTGTAGTTGCGAAAGGCAAGAGAGCCACTCTGAATTATATGCCAATAAAACGGTTTAAAAGAGAGAATATGGGAGACAGAAAAGGTTGTAAACTATGGTAAGGGAGCAAACTAACATCCAAATTTATAAAACTACATTTTTTTTATAAAGGTAAAAACGTTTGTTGAAAAGTGAGCAGATGACCGTCCTGTTTAAGTTATATAGCGATGCTTTATAACCTATTGCTTATATCTATTGTCTACCGTGTATATAGCCTCATTTCATACAAATGAACTTCCAAAAGTTCATGGTAAATTTCCATTTGCCACAGACGTTTTGAAACCCTCTTGTGGACTTGTCCTGAGAAAGTTTAATTTTATGGAATGTAAAATATACTAAAATAAATTCTATATAGCTTTAAATTGAATTAAATGAGTTAATCACAGTATGTAAATTATTGTCATAATTAATGTTACAGTACAGTTTGAGATCCATTAATTCTAAGTCATTATTTGAAAGCATCAATGGTCAAGTTTTAAAATCTTTTAAAATTTGCTCTTTTGAAGATTCATTTGAATTGCTTACTATTTGTTCATCGGTTAGCAGAGGAGTCCAGGATAAATGCTTGTGAGAATAAGTGTGGAGTAATTAAAAAAGAACATATCCTGGCTGCAGCAAAGGTAAAAATCTTACTTTTCTTTTCTTGAGCAAAGCATTTTTTGAAGAAGGATTAATTTCAAGGAAACAACTGATTCATATTTGGATTCTTCATTCAGCTTTGTTGACTGAGTTTGAAGCTTGGCTTTTCGTGTTAGTGGATTTTAAGTATGGAGTTAGATCCCCCCGCCCCCTATATGTATACTAAGGATTTTTGATGGAAAGATTTATAGTCACTGATTTTTCACAGTTTAGCAAGAAATTACGTTTTGACTGCTTGACTGTAGGATTGTAACTTTTGCCCACTGTTGTCAAGTTGATTCCAACTATAAGCAACCCTATTGGACAGATCAGAACTGCCCCAGAGCATTTCCAAGGTGTAACCTTTCAGAAGCAGACTATTGTGTTGTTTTAAAAACATTCTCTACTTTATGTCTGGGTTCCAATGTCAATTGCCATGGTGACACAGAACCCACAGACAAAATTTATGATTAAAGGGTTTATTAAGGGAGTTAACAAGTTGTATTGCTAGTGGGAAATGCTCAGGATAGTTGTCAGGACATGTTACAAAGTTCTTTTGGATCTGCTAATAAATGCCCAAAGGACACTGCTGTAAGCCTCAATCAGAAGACATTAAGCTCAAGCTCCAAGCCCAGCCTACCCAATGACGTGTCCAGAGCACCTTACGCTGTAAGCCAGCTTCCTGAACAAAAATACTCAGCCTTACATGGGTTGGTGTGTTAGTCTGGGTTGACTAGAGAAATCCAGAGACACTCATGTGTATAAGAAAGAGCTTTATATAAAGAGTTCTTTTATATTAAAAAAACACCCCAGCCCAGTCCAGATCGAGTTCATAAGTCCAATACCAGTCCATAAATTCCTCTTCAGACTCAAGCAACACATGCAATTACTACCGAATGCAGGAAGATCACAGGTCAATGGCAGGAAGTCTTGTGGATCCAGTGGTTCCTCCAGCTTCAGGGCTCTGGCTCCATCAGTGTAGCTCCATGTGGCTTGTCAACAGGAATGTCAAGCAGGGAGAGTGTGTGTCCTACCTCCAGGGAGGAAGACAGTTCTCAGAATCCTCAGGAGGTCATGCCCACATAGAAGCCTTATTGTCCTTGCCTGATTGACAGGCTAGCCCTCACCCATTTGCTCAAGTTGACAGAAGATTATGTAACTGCCACCGTTGGGAAGTCCACCACTCTGTTCCATGTTCTGGCTCCTGGTTCTGTTGCTGGTCCTCTGATTGTTATAGCTGTCTTCTAGAGCCAGGAGGCTTACTGGGCAGGGATTTTGGGTCCAGAGGACACACTATACTTCTGGCTCTTGCTGGCAATGAGATTCCCCCTCCTGATTCTCTGAGGGCTTACTTATATGCAACAGGACGGCATTCCAGGGAATCCTGTTCCCAATTATTCACAAGTAAATCCTATCAGTATCTTCCCCACCTTCGTAGCAGACCCATGCAGGAGAAAGTTGCTTGGTGGGAGTTAGAGATTTTGGCTAGAGGAGCCATGTTAAATAATTCACTCTCTCTGCAACCCTGACATCTGTCCCTTATGCAGTGACTGATGAGTTCAAGCCACAACCTCTAGTTAATAGCTGAGTACTTAACCACTGTGCTAACAGGGCCTCCTCATGGGATTATAGGAGGTGGCTTGGTGGTTACTCTTTGGACTGCTAACTGCATGAAAGAACCATGAGACTTTCTAATTCCATAAAGAGTTACAGTCTCAGAAATTCCCAGGGGCAGTTCTACCCTGGTTGCTATGAGTCAGCATTGACCCAATGGCAGTGAATTTGTGGGTTTTTTGATAGGTAGTAGAGAGCATTATCACCTAGGAAATTTACCTTGTTCTTGATTATTTTTAAAGATCCTAATTCGTTAATTAGCTATTTTCTAACTTTGTTTTGCTGTTTCAATGTCTTACTAATCAAATTTCTTATATAAGCAGAGAACATTGCCTAGTACTTGTGTTTCTATATAATATGATGCTTAGGGTAGAGTTTTCTAAATGTGTTCCTGAGATTTTAATAGATGGACAACCACTAAAAGTCAGATAAATAAGTGTATTCCTTCTTGAATATCCACATGATATGGTTTTAGTTCAGGATTTTGTAAATTCACTTGAGGATATAATACTTTCATTTGAAGTGTTCATGTTAATGAAGAACAGAGAAAGAGTCTTGGTGGTATGATGATTAAGCTCTTGTTGCTAGCCAAAAGGTTGGTGCTTCTGCAGGAGGAAGGCTTGGCATCTGCTTCCATGAATATGGCAGCCATGTAAACCCTATGGGCTGTTCTCTCTGCAAATAGGGTCACCATGGGTTGTTTCATTCTGCGCATGTGCTATATGTTCTCTATGCTCCCTACCTAGTGTTGAGCATGGTGATAACTAATCTAATTCCCAAAGGAATTCTGCCCAAATTATTAAAAATTTTATGCCACAGTGGATTTGTGTTGCGTTAGAGTTATGGAAAGCATCCCTGCTGGCTCACAGTTTTGTGCTTGTCTGCCAACTGAAAATTAAATTAGATTTTGAGAATCTAGAATTGTTTTACATTCATTGAGAGAAGGAGACTATAGCCACCATATTCCCTAATCATCTTCCAATTTGATTTTTGCATATTATGCACATAGGACTCCTTATCCTTTTGTTAACTATTTTCTTGATTTTCTACAGATATAATATTTGCCATGTGTATAATACGAATCTTCTTTTATTACCCCTCCCAGGTAATTCTAAAGAAGAGCAGAGGTTAGAAGTCAAAGAACACATTCTTGAAAACTGTGTATTATTTTAGATGCTAACAGGAGTCAAACTAATTTTTACATATCTACTTAGCATTATAGATATTTAACTATTGGCTAGATGAGTATATATGTGTATTTTATTTTACTAATATTTAAATGTCTCAAGTAAATGCATAAATTCAAAGATTTTGTACCATTGTGATTTCTTTCAGTAGTCTTGTCCATTTCTATTTTCCTTTTGTTATTGCACATATTTTCTATACGATATATATATATAAGCTTAATTTTAGATACCTACTCTTCCTTCACCAACTAGATCTCACCTACCATTTGCAATTATGACAATAGGAACTATATCTTAATATTTTGTGAATTAATCATGTATATTTCGCAGTGGTGAATGCCAGATTTGAAGTGCTAATAACAGTTATTAACACTGGCTGTGATGGTTAAGATTATGTGTCAGCTTGACTGGGCTGTGGTTCTCAGTGGTTTATAATGTTGTAGTCACCTTCCATTTTGTGATATGATGTGGCTATCCTCTATTTTCATGTAATAAAATTAATTTAGTATTAGTAATGAGGCAGCATTTAGAACCTAACTATAAGATAAATGAGAACTAGGTGCACTTTGAAAAAATGCTTAGAATTAAGTATATATGTATATATTTAGACTTTAACCGAAGTTACCTGTGGAATTACTCTCCAAAGAAAGATAACATGCAAGCAAATCTAAGTGCATTACAAGTATTAGTGTTAGTTTGTAATGCCTTCACATAAGCAGTTCTATTTATCATTATGTTCTTAAAATAATTATTCAACATTTTTTTTTTCAAAACCTAGCTACCTAGTTTTAAAAGTACATCCTAAGAGAAGTGCCAGCCATCATGATGTCTCGATGAGGCATCATTTCCCTCTCCCAGGGATTCTTAATAAAATTTCTCTATGTAAAAACCCCACTCTATTCCTCTCCAAGCAAATCTTTATTTGGGGAAGGCAAGAACCTGAAGCTTCGGTAGCATTTCTGGTGAGCTGAGCCAGGAAAAAGAATATAAGTGCTGGACTTCTCTTGCTCATCCCCTCTCCACTGTGGATCCGACTGGAGCCTTACCCAGGGAAGAGGTGAGTGGCCACCAGTCACCTCACTCTGCAGTAAGAGTCCAGGCGACTCTCAGAGATTTTCCTCAGGACAACCTTTGTGTGTGACTTGGTGGAATTTTCTGAAGGAGCAGGCCCAGTCAGTCTTGCAGAACTTAGACTGCTGGGCAGTGCCAATGAATGACTTAGCGTTAAGTCCAACATCTCTACCTGAAAGAACTTGCTCCCTTTAATATAGAATAGATTGAGAGATTTCTACTCATTAGGGTGATGATATACTATATAAGCAGGAAGTAGCTACAGAAAAAAGAGATCTTTGTCCCTGTTCTCATAAAGAATTAAGCGTATAAAATATTGTAGGGGGCAGTGTGATAGGGCATGGGAGAGAAGGTGGAAATTTGCACTGAGTATGTGCGCGGAATGTCAATATCTTGGGACTACATTTCCCTGAAACCCTTGCTATGCCCAGTGGAATTTGACTTTTCTCGTGACACTTGAAAATCCAGTTCACTGGATTCTCAGACAAGTGCCTGAGAGCCAGCTTCCAGCATCTCAGCAAAACACTTGCAGTAACTTGGTAGGGCACCATCTCCCTCTCCCAGGAGATTCTTGATAAAATTTCTCTATGTGAAAACACCCCACCACTTTCCCCCACCATAAACAATGTAAAACTCCTTTCTCTTTTTCCTAAACAAACCATAATTTCTCCAAAATTATGGAGAAAACGTGTATTTTGTCAAGTCACACATTTATTAGGTGCTTTTATTTTCCTTCTAAGGCAGCAGTTCTCAACCTGAGGGTCGTGACCATTTGGGGGTTGAAAGACCCTTTCACAGGGGTTGCCCGATTCGTAACTAGCAAAATTACAGTTATGAAGTAGCAATGAAAATAATTTTATGGTTGGGGCGTCACCACAACTTAAGGAACTGTTTTAAGGGTTGTGGCATTAGGAAGGATGAGAGCCACTGTGGAGCATCCTTTAGAAATTTATTTCATATCAAATCCAATAGTTTTTTAAATTATTTTTACTTTCAAAATTTTGAAATGATTGGGTAGACAGATTTTATGTATCCAAGTTTCCACTGGTGATTACACCTTACATAATTATAAATTATAGTATAGTATCAAAACCAGGATTTTACATTGACACAATGTGTGTATCAACTCAGCTCACTACCATCAAGTGGATTCCGACTAATGGTGACCCTTCAGAAAATTTGAACTGCCCCTGTGGATTTCTGAGACTATATAGGGGTAAAAACCTTGTTTTGCTCCCTTGAGCAGCTGATGCTTTTAAACTGATGCTTTTAGCACGGAAGAAGGTCTTGTAACTACCAATATAATTACATTCCGTGACCACAGAACTCTTCCTGTGTTACCCTATCAGAGTTACAAGAAGTGCTACCCCCACCCCTCACCACCACCACTCTGGCCACCATCCCTAACCCTTGCCAACAGTAATCTATATCTAATTTTATCATTTTTGGCATGTTATAAATGGGATTATTGGATCTAATCCATTGTGGCTGAATTTCCACTTAGCATAATGCCTTTGGGATCCACTTAAGTTGCTACATGTACGCTGTTTCTTTCATTATTGAACAGCTTCCATGACATGATCTGCCACAGTTTGTATAACCGTACATACACCTATTGAGAATTGCTTTGGATATTTCCAGGAATTTTTTTTTTTGCTATTAGAAATAAAACTTCTGTGGAAAAACGTGTACTCATTTTTGTGTGACCTGGATTTTTATTTCTTTGGGATAGATGCTTGGAATGCTATTGCTGGACTGTATGGTAAGAGCATAATTTGTTGTTGAGTAGATACACAACAGAATATACACCAGTCCAACATTGTCTACTTGTACAATTCAATGTCGTTAATTATGCTCTGAATTGTTGTGTTATCAGTATCACCCTTTTTTTCTAATTTTTTTCTCCCTAATTAACATAAACTTGCTGTCCCTTGATGTTTGCAGCTGTTTCTTCTCATTTTGGGTTGTGCTACATTAGCAAATCTGGAAAGCTTTGAAGGTCATGAAAGTTATTGTAAGTCACTGAAGTCAACTTTAAGGAGGTGGCTTTTCCCTCTGAGAAGTTCCTCTTCCAGCCTTAAAGCAGTGTTCCTCTGCTAGCTGAGGTTTTCACTGGCTAATTTCCGATTGGGATGGTGATAGAGGGTACATCTCTAGGTTCTCCTCAGCCTGTTTCAATATGGAAGGCCTGCGTAAACCTGTCAGCATTGATGACTTGGTATTTGAAATTGCTTCCAGCATCAGCAACGCACACATGCCACTGATAGGAAAAGCACTCACATAAAACAGACAAGATATCTCACAAAGAAACAACCTTCCGCTGGACTAATATAAATAACATGACTGAAGTGAAATACTCCATTTTACTTAAATTCACAACCCACGTCCATGGATACATCAGTCAAGAAATCAAGTGATGTGTAAAAAAGCAAAGATGTCACTTTGAGGGCTAAGGGACTCCTGACTCAACCCATGGTAGTTTCCATTGTCTCCTATGCATGGACATGCTGGACAATGAAAAAAGACAGCATTCCATCCTTCATTATTGTAGTGTTTAGTGAAGAATATGGGATATATTATGACTTGCTAGAAGAATGGACAAATCTATATTAGAAAAGGGGCTTTCATAATGTTTCTTAGAAGCCGTGTCTTCACTTTGGTTATGTCAAAAGGAGGGATGGGTCTCTAAAGAAGGACTTCCTGCTTGGTAAATCAGAAGGCAAGCTAAAATAACTTGAGATAGATGACAGTGGCTGCAACAATGGGCTCATCCGTGGCAATGACTGTGAGGGTCATTGTCAGCTATGAGGATGAACAGTGTTCTGTTATCCCACGAGGTTAAGAGACCAGACGGAAAGGCACTTAACACTGCCTCTGAAGTTCTTTCAAATTGCTGCTATTTGATAATATCAAAGAGCATGGTTCACAAGGCAGATAATTCTTGATTTTCAGAAGCTCAAAGCATAACATGTCTCGGCAGTAGTTTCAATGGTTCCCTCAGCCTCCTAGGGTCCAGAAAATCTGGATGCCATGTTTATTTTTGAAAGAAAACCTGCCAGACAATTTTCCTGTGACTATACCATCTTGCATTCAAGTATGCGAGAAAACTGGCATACTTAAACGCTTGATATTGTTGCTAATTTTTGTTTTAGCTGTTTTTATAGATATGTACTGGTAACTCAAGATTTTAAGTTGCATTTTTATAATGCTAACCGTGTTGAACATATTCTCTTATGCTTATTTGTAGCCAGTATGTTTTCTTCAAAGAACTTTGGCACAATGGCTTAAACCTTAGACTTCTACCTTTGCTTGTTGCCACAAGCATTGAGTGCTTGGCTGGGACTGAAATGTCGGAAATCTGCTTGCTCTGGCAATCCACTCCTAAAAAGTCAACCACTGGAAATTTTCTGGAGAACAATGCTGTTCTGTCACAGGCTGTCATGAGTCAGAATTGCTTCAAGAACACTTAAAATCTGCCTGTCTTTCGAATTGGGTTATCTCTTTTGTAAGAGCTCTTTTCTGTTCTAGATATGAGGCCTTTGGTTTGGAAGTGTTTTCATCCCACCTTGCGCTTGCTTTCTTAACTCTTAAAAGTCACAGCTCAAATATTTCTGTTGATGTGGCCTAGTTTAACTTTTTTCTTTTATTGATTGTGCTTTTGGTGAAATACTTATAACCTCTTTACTAAGCTGTGGGCCCTAAGACTTTTTCTTATACCGAAACATTTTATGGTTTTATGTCTTGCATTTAAGTATCCAATCCTTTTTTATTTAATTTTTGTATAAGTCATAAGGTTTAGTCCAAAGTTACTTTCTTTTTTGTCTGAATATTTAGTTGCTTGAACACCATTGTTAGGAAAGTTTTTCCCTCATTGAGTTTCCAATAAACAGCAATGGAGGTAGACTATCTGACTTCTGATGGAGGTATGTTTGACCAATAGGGATATTGCCATACACGAAGCAAGGGTCAAACATACCTCCATAGTACATCCTTCTTTACCTGTTCTGACACCAACCATTCCTCCCACAGCCTTGTACTTCTCTACTGAGTTTGATAATTCATTGCAATGGCCACACACAACTCACAAGTGATATCATGATTATGGGAGTTACAAGAGAAATTAGCATTACAAAATACTAAGAATTGGGTTTTTTTCCCTGTATTGTCTCTTCAACCTTGCTGTCAGGCATGTCTTTTATCCTTGGTTTCTCAGCCAGGTGGTCCCTTGCTCTCTGCCTTTTTCTGTGGGTCAGGAAGCCCACCCACCACTCTGTCCATGGGTTTGGAATTATTCCTTTGTTCTGGCTCATGGTCTAAGTCAGTGGTTCTCAACCTTCCTAA